TTCGTTTCGATTGGATATTATGGGCAAAGTAACCACTAGGTACTGAATTATCAATAGTTTCGCCACGGCAACAACTAGATATGATGTTCCTTAAAAGTTTGGCCAACGTAACGACTAGGTATTATGTTTTTCATATGGTTATGTTAGCATGATAACTAGGTATAATATTATCCATAAAAGTTGGGCAGGATACCTACCAAACATAATATTACCCTAATATACTAGGCATAATTATATAACCAATGCTATATAGTTAGTAATAATTATGAAATTAGTAATAGTATAAGATGTATTACCCTTGTAAAATGTTTGAAAACTATAAAAGTGGAGTTGTGAACTCACCCTTGAAACGTGAACCGAACGAATAGGGTAGCGTCGGGATTTGAAGTTCATGCATTGCTCGGGAGGCATAGACACATAAATCGAGAGAGAGAGAGAGAGAGGGAGAGAGAGAGACAGAGAGAGAGGGTAGTGATTATGGAGGTATGATGAATGGACTGCCAAAGTCTTCTATTATAGGAAGTTTTTGGAATGCGCCATGTGTCGCGCCACGAATGATATGCATGTGGCTCCATTAGGAAGGTACCATGTGTTCTCCTTACATGGTGTCACGTCACCCATATCCTGACATATCTAGATATTAGATTGCGCACTGTGCGTGATGCGCAGTGGTGTATGCGTATTTGATTTTTTACTTTGAAAATTTGTATCTTTTGCATATGGTTTCTATTTTTGATGGTTCTTGTATCCCTTTGTAGATCTCGAAGTATACTACAAATTTCTTTTTGGGCGTTTTGTAAAATTTTAACTTTTGTTTATAGGCTATATTTTATAATTATTAAAAATCATATCTTTCTCGTACAAGCTCCGTTTTTAGACGTTATTTGTCTCAAAACTCTTGTTCTGATAGGTACTACGATTCTTCCGGTGGTGACTTTTGCTATAAGTCAATCATTTTTCTCGTAGTTTTTGAAGCCGTAACTTCTTGTGTGAAGACTCTGTTTTTCACGGACTTATTTCTGTGTCTATCCGTCATAATGATAACATTTGGTAGTGGAATATATTTCTTTATTATATTATTTACGTTGATTCCTAGCAACGATCGGTGACGCTTTTGTCTCGGTTTTCAAATGACTGTTCCAACATCCTCGCCAGTTCAGTATTCATGAAGTGCAAGTCAAGAAATACATGTTATGATCTCGAACAATGAGATCATATCCATACTAACCAGGATGGACCGACACACATCGCTGAGCAAAGTGAAACCAATAAGATGTTCGAAAGGATGGAGACACTAGGCTTAAGCTTGAAAAGAATTATAAAAACTATGCCCTTTTCACTAAGAAAAAAATAACAATACGAGATTAAAATAATAATTACATCAGATATATCATTTTTGAATAAGAGTAGGTGGTAGTCGGTGGTTGTGGCGGCTACGGTTAGCGGTAGGAACAATTGTTTATGACATTGTGTGTCCTAGCCGTGGTTGGGATGGTATAGTTTGTATGGATGTATAATATGAATGAATTTTAATTTTCAAAAAGTTAGGACAAAAAAAATACCTTTAATAAATTTTTTTAAAAAGGAGAGAGAGAGAGAGAGAGAGAGAGAGAGAGAGAGAGAGAGAGAGAGA